GGTCCTAGCATGGGTTCAGTCAGAACCAGAGCGGAACATGGTCCTAGGCCAGACATTAACCCTTCACTTGCTGGACTGTAGGAAAGTCTGGGGCTGGGGGTAGGGATTACCTTGTGTACCAGTTATATACCAATCAATCTAGAAGAATTTCAATATTTAAATGACTGGTAATGCCTGCACTAGTTTGTGAATGTCAGCCCTAGTTCTGTATCAATTTATACCTTGGCAAGATGCTGTCTAGGTTTCAATCCTAAATTGAGCCTGTCTCCTCAGTTACAAGGAGAGCTTCCAGGGCTTAACTCATGTACTCCTCATAACCATGCTGAGACAGATTCTTATCTCCTTAGTACAGATGAGGAAACTGAGGCACAAAGACGATTAACAAGTAGCCCAAGTTCACACCAACTGGTAGCTAGGTAGGTGAACTGGGATTTGAAGCCGTGTCATAAGAAAGCTACTTTTCTTAAAAAGATCCCTTGGCTGAAAAGATTTTTTTTTAAAGATTGGCCCTGAGCTAACAACTGTTGCCAGTCTTCTTTTTTTTTCCTTCCTCTCAAAGCCCCCCAGTACATAGTTGTATATTCTAGTTGTGAGTGCCTCTGGTTGTGCTCTGTGGGACACTGCCTCAGCATGGCCTGATGAGCGGTGCCATGTCTGTGCCCAGGATCCGAACAGGCAAAACCCTAGGCCGCTGAAGAGGAGCGCACAAACTTAACCACGCGGCCACGGGGCCGGCCTCTGAAAAGATTTTTTGAAGATTCAGTAGGCTCATTCATATAAACTGCTGGTATGTATTGGGTACTCCATTAACAGTGGCTGTTACTCCCCCCACCCCCAACCCTCTATAAATGCCATTCCAGACTTCTCACCTCTCCCTGCGCACACCAGGGATTTTCACATTTGTGGGTCTTAGCAAATCCTGCTGTTGCTTTCTAGAATGTCCTCCTTTCCTCTTGTCTGCCTAGAGAACTCCTACTCACCCTCCAAAGCCCACCTCAAGCACGAGAACCTCTGTATTTCTTCCCAACCCCAATACCACCTCTGCCTCTTCCAAGAAGCCTTCTCTGACTCCTCTCCTTCCTTTCCCTCTCCACCAATAGCTCCCTACACACACACACACACACACACACACACACACAGAGCGCTTTTGTCTCCCACTGCACTCCCGGACAGTAAAGAGCCAGGCAAGGCAAGTCAGTGAAGGGGCTGGCAGCCTGAGCTGCACCTCTTATACATCAAGGCCTGTGCTGGGCACTGGGCATACAATGGTGGAAAGTACACCATCCCTTCAAAGCTTGGAGGTCAAGTTTAATGCTGGGGACTAAAGAGAAAAAGATTAGGACCGAAGCCTGGAGGAGGCCGGGGCATGGGAGGGCTGGCATCGAGGGTGGGGAGCTTTCTAAAGACACCTGGATCTGGGCTTTCTGGAGAGAGAAGATTCCTAATTGGCAGAAGAGAGTTCTCAAAATATCCTATTGCCTGTTCGGCCCCATTTGATTTGGAAATCCTACTTCACACTTGAATAAGCTTGCCAGATTTAGTAAATAAAAACAGACAACGCCCAGTTAAATTGGACATTTCTTAAAGATTGTTTATCTGAAATTCAACTTAACCGGGCATTCTATGTTTTAACTGGCAACCCTACACCACGGGCAATCAGAACTTCCCATGAGATTACAAGGAGACATGGCTCACCAATCCAGCCCACCCTTCCCCAAACCCCCAACACACAAGGGCCCTTGCAGCGTATTCCAGATGTCAGGTGGAGACAATTCATTGGTGCACAACTCCCATTCCTACAACGACTATGGCAGCCAGACTGGCTCCCACGATCTTACAGGGGCATAAACGGGGCTCCCTCACTACCATAAGGAAAACACAGTGCCCAAGACTCCACAATGTCCTAAGCCTATAGCGACCAACACCCAGGATGCCCTGCGCGAACATAATAGGCACTCATTTCGACAATGCTAGAGCGAGGAGGCCAAAGCAAAACCTTATATGGAACAATAAGGACCAGTCCCCACAATGCTCTGCGACAATTCTTCCCAGGATGCCTCGGGCCTATAATGACCACCTTCCAGGATGCTCAGCGGAAGGTGTGTGACAAAAGGGACCGGCTCCCCACAAGGAGCAGAGACAATCCTTCCCCCAGGCATCAGGCTCATAACGACTAGCAGACCGACTCCCACAATGCTTTAGGGCGCGGCGTCCTGTCTTCCCAGGATGCCCAGGGCTGCACGGTGCCGCGCGGGGGAAGAAAAGGGAGCCTGGGTCTCGCCCTCAGGCCATCACGGCCCAAGCCCGAGGCCCGCTCCTCGGTGGCGGGAACCGTCACTCCCGTCATGCAGCGGTGCCGTAGCGCCCGCTTCCCAGCATGCCCCGCGCGCCTCCATCCCGGACACTCACCGGCGCCCACGGGCCCCGCTCCGGCTCGGCGGCGGCGGCTGCACGCCCGGGCTCTGCGCCTGCGCTGCAAGCGGGGTAGGAGGGAGAGCGAGGGGCGTGCAGAGCCTAGGGCGCTTGCGCGGAGAGATGGACCATTCCTGTCGCACAGTGGGAAGAGGGGCTCTCCGAGTCGGGCTGTCGACGAGGCCCCGCGCAGGGGGTTCCCGGCTGTGCCCCTCGCCGTCCCGGTTGACTTGGTACGGTCCGCAGCCCGACGGACCCAGCCACTGCAAGCCTGGCGCGTGCGTGAGCCAGCAGGAACGCGCTTTATAGAAAACGGCATGCGCTGGGGGTGGGGGGCGCCAGCTCGGCCACTGTCCTGGACCTGACGCCTGCTCATTTGCATAATCTTAGCGCGGGACAATAGGAGGCCTGGGGTGCTGAAAGGGCTGATTTGCATATTCCCGGGAGAGGCCGCACTTCGGAGCGCAGTGATTAGCATATGTGGGGTGGGGGGCGCCTGAGCCAGGCGCGTGCGCACGGAGACTGCGGACTAGCGCGAAGCGAGGAGCCTTGTCTCAGTCAGGATCGGTTTGCATCCCCAGAGCGGGCACGAGGGCTAGGACCATTACTAAGCCTCCATCCCCCGAACCAGGATAAATATTTACTGCTCTCCTATGTGTCAGGCCCTGTGCTAGTGGGAATTATGGTTTCCTCAGTGAACAAGACCTACACAGCCCCTCTCCTCATGTCGCCCCAGTCAAAGGAAGGAGATCCACACGTAATCAGAACCACAAGCCAGAGTGGTCAGACTTGGGATGAGTGGAGCAAAGGAAGCTATGGGAGCCAGAGGAGGCGCCTGCCCCAGCCTGGAAAGGCTTCCTGGAGATGATCTTTAAGCCAAGGATGAATAGAAGCCAACTAGAAAGGGAGTCTTTTTGGCAGAAGGAACAGCAAGGGCAAAGGCCTAGAGGCAAAAAAAAAAAAAAAGTGCGAGGTTTGATTGAGGAAGTGAAAGCAGTGTGGTATGCCTGGAATAGAGGGGAGAGGCTCCTACAGGTGATGTTAAGAGCTCAGACTTCATGCTGAGAGTATAGAAAGCTATTGCAGCATCCCAGGCTTCCTGGAAGTGATTTACCTTCCAGCTTAAAACTTGCTAATGATATCCCATTATACTTAGAAAAACCTCAAACTCTTTACCATGGCCCAGGGGCTCTCCACAGGGTCTGGCCCAGCTGATCTCTGCCTCACCCACCTCTCCTCTAGACCTCCTGTCTAGCTCCACTTCCCCTCAAACACGCCAATCTCTTTACCATCTCAGGCCCTGCCCATGCTATTCCTTTTGCCTGTAAATGCTTGTTCCTCTGATCTTCCTTGTGCGCTCATTCATATCTTGGCACAGATGTCAGTCTGACAGGCTTTCGGGATCTTCCTAAGATAGCACCTCCAGATTTGCTTTAGGGAAGTGAGCGAGGTTGTGGATAAAGCAGGATTGGGCATGAGTTGATAGTTGTTGAAGCTGGGGTGAAGGGTGCATGGGGCTTCATCATCCTCTTCTGTCTACACTATGTTTCAAGTTTTCCATAGTAAATTAAAAGAAAATGGTACCCTACAGCCCCTTACTCTGCATTTTACCTTAATAGTAGTTATGGCAATCTGAAGTTAAGCTTTTTGGCTTCCTTGCTGTAGTCTGTTTTCCTCATGAAAGCTTTGTGAGGGTAAGCATGGAGTCACCCTTTTTCACTTTGGGGCCTCAGTGCCTAACAGGATCAAGTTCCAGATTAGCACTCAACTGTCTGGAACGCCTAACATTTGCCTGTTCTGTTTACCATGGCATCACCTTTGAGCAGCACCTGGCACAAGGTAAGAGGTCAATGTATTTTATTTTATTTTATTTTTTGAGGAAGATTAGCCCTGAGCTAATATCAGCTGCCAATCCTTCTCTTTTTGCTGAGGAAGACTAGCCCTGAGCTGACATCTGTGCCCATCTTCCTCTACTTTATATGTGGGACGCCTGCCACAGCATAGTTTGGCAAGCGGTGCCATGTCCGCACCCAGGATCCCAACCCGAGAACCCCGGGCTGCTGAAGCGGAACGTGTGAACTTAACCATTGTGCCACCTGGCCGGCCCCGAGGTCAATGTATTTTTGAATCGAAAGTTAGAATCACTCATCTAAAATTTAGATGAATGAATGAGGAGGCTGGAATGCTGGGCTAAGGAGCTCTGACTTGATCTAGAGGTGATGGGGGCTAGGGAAAGGCTTTGAGCAGGGCGGGGACGGGTTTGGCAGGATGAGCTGTGAGTAACTGAAAGCTTCTCTGGAGAGTGCAGTCAGGGGTGCGGCTAAGCCAGGGGAAGGGTCAAGGTCATTGGTTGGGGATAGGGTAGCTCGGAGTCTATTGAAGAGACAAAACTCGTGACTTTTGGCCAGGAAACACCCCGGTTTCTTAGAAGGGTGGAGGTATCCTTGGAGAGGTAAGTACCCTCTCCTGGCCTAGACTGTCCACCAGCAACCATCCCACTCCTCTCCCTCCCCCCTCCCTTAGGGCCGTCCCCCTCCCAACACAGTGCAGCTCTGGGCAGAGGGACAGACACACAGCCACCCCAAACACTTGTTCTCTCCTCAGTTTAATGGTGGTTAGTGGGATTGCCAAACCCCCTCCCCGTTCCCCTCCCGGCCCCGTACAAAATGTGTTTGCTTTTTTTTTTAAACAAGAAAAAGGGGCAAAAGCTAGGAATGGGGGGGGCACAATCTGATATTTTCATACAGATTTTTGATTTTTTTTTAATATATTATATATAAAACCATAGAGACCAACCCACCCACCCAAACTCCTTTCCCCCTCCCCGGGGGGCCTGGAGGAGAGATGGGGAAGGCCCCCCCAGGAGTGGGTGGACAGAGACAAAAATGGGTGGGACTGATGTAGGGGGAGGGGGAGAAGGGAAGGGGAGCCCAGGAACTGGGGGGGGGGGAGGGGAATTGGAGAAAAGGGTCGGGGCTGTCTCCCTCACCGCTCCCATCAAAGTTATGACACAAAGACACAGAATCCCTGTTTCCACGCCCTCCCCCCACCCTTACCCCCACCGTGCAAACATGGCTTTGCAAAGAGGTGCCCAGAGCTCTGTGGAACTCCTACAATGGCTGGCATGGGGTCTGGGACCCCCAAAGAAATCTGCATTCCCCTTCCCTGCCCACCCTGCCCTTCCCAGAATCTGATCCCCTCCCACAAGACCTGGTTCTGCAGCCTAGGGGCCCTGGCCTTCCCCCAGTTATTTTCCCCCAACCCAATCCCTACCACCCTCCCTGGACTTGGGGGGTCTGGACCTTTGGGCCCTACCCCCTGGGGGACCCAGACCTCTGGGCCCTTGCTTCTGGCCCTTGCAGAGCCTCAGGCTTCTGACACCCCCATCCCTGCCCAAGTGTCTGAGGTGTTAGTGGTGGGGGAAGCCCACCATCCCAGACTCTGGTAAATGTCTTTGCAGCTGGCAGTGGGGTGGACCCCAGCCCAGGCCCACGCCTAGGGTGGAGGTGGGGTCAGATGAAGAATTCTTCTTTCCTCTTGTGTCCGTCACTGCCATTGAGAAAGGCTTCTCTTGCTTCTCCCTGCTCATCCAGGCCACTGGCCTCATGGGTCAGATAGGAGCCTGAGAGATGACACATCCCCAGGCGACATGTATGTGGACCCAGAAGTTGGAGAGAGATATAGGAGGAGAGGGAGACAGACGAGACATACCAGACGAAGGAAGAGGGAGAAACGGAACAGACCGGGAGAAGGAATCAAGTCCAGGGAAGGGCAGAACAGGGGCAGAGAAAGACGTAAAGCAGAATTAGGAAGACTCCTAAAGTTCATGCAAAGATCAACCCCTATCCGTTCTCTTGGTGGAATCCCCTTGCTCCGCTCCCGACGAATCCAGCAATTAGGAAGGTAAATTGTTTTATTCAAACCCGTGGCCTTAATTCAACTTGAACTTTTCACCCCTTTTACAGTCCTGGGCCGAAAGACCCGCCCATTTGGAAATCTTGGCTTTAGGTCCCGCTGGGTTTCAAATCCTGGATCTAGGCTCCGCCCCCTTGTTATCCCGGCTCTACGCCCGCCCTCAATCGAATCCAGGCTCTAGGCCCCGCCCCCTTCCGAATCTCACGACCAACCACACCCCTCGCTAAATTTGGACCCTCAGATCCCGCCCCACTCACCCTTCTGCCGTACCGAGCACCAGACCATGCCCACCAGCACACAGATGATCAGAAACACCAGTAGCGCCAGGATGCCGCCCACGATGGCGTAGGGCACCGACGTCTGAGCCTCTACCACCGCACCGGGGTCTGCCAGAGGGACAGGGCGCAAGACCAGGTCATCAGAGGACGGTCCCAGCCTGGCCATCGCCGCCAACCTCTTAAACCACTGCGCACACCCCATCTAACCGCTCCCTTTTATGTGCCACGCCCCTCGAAAATCACTGACACCTCGTGGTCCCTTCTCTTGGCACCACTCTCCTGATGCTTCACTTTCTAAAGGAATGCGTGTTGGTTTGTACACGGCCCGACCTGGCCCCTGAATCATTTTGCTAATGTGCACCCTGCCTCCTTTTCCCACCCTCCAGAGAAGAGAAAAAGCACACCTCTTTTCTTTTCACTGTTTCTTGGCCACGGAACCTCAAGTCCAAGTCCCTTCCCATCTCGTCTGAAATGCTCCAGGCATTTAAAATGCTGGGCTAGGGCCCAACCACTTCCAAAATTCCTGCCCCACCGTCATAAGAGCTAAACACATCACACTTATTTTGTGCTAGGGGCCATTCCAACTGCTTTATATATTTAGCTCATATAATCTTCACGACAACCCTATGAGGTAGGTGCTATGTTTGTTTCCACTTTACGGATGAGGAAACTAAGACGTAAACTAAGTTACCCGCAATAGAATGCTGCAGAACCGAATCTGAACTATAAGAACTCTGTTGACTGTTGACCCCCAATCATTCTTTGCACAGGCCCCGCCCTCAAAGGCCCGGCAGGCCTGGGACCATCCAATCCAGCCCGCCCATTCGCGAGGCCCCGCCCCCTGGAGGCCCCGCCCCTGCCTTACGCCCCGCCCCCAGGCCCGCCGCAGCCTCCCTCACCATAGACCACGAGCACATAGAGCGCCCTCGCGTGGCCGTGCTTGTTCGACGTCTCGCAGGTGTAGGTGCCATTATCCGCTGAGACCAGGCCGGGCAGCGTCAGCGTTTCCCCGACCGCCTCGGCCCGCTCCGGCAAAGACTCATTCCCGCGATTCCAGCGGATCTGGTTTGGCCTGGGCGGGGGTAAAGTATAATGAGAGTTAGAGACGCAGGTGTCAGCGCCCAATTCTGACTTCTCAAGAAATCTAGACATGCAGCATCTCCAAATAAGAGAATCCCTGCTAACCCTTTCCTGCCTAGAAGACCAACAGTCCTGGGCTCAGATTCCATCCATCATCAGGATATCAGGAATCCTAGACCCCGCCCCCCCCAGCCCCTTCCACCCTCAGAATGCAGGAGTCTGGACCTCACAGCCTCCTTCCTTGGGATCTAGGAGTCAGAGCCCCCAGATCCCTCCTCTCTCAGGACTCGGGCCCCAGCCCTCTCTTTCCTGAGACACAGGTGTCCAGATCGCCAGTCCTGTTCTCTTCGGGCCCCAGAGCTCACCTGGGGTTCCCCGTTACAGCACACGTCAGCACCAGCGTGTCTCCCTCCCTCACCACAGCTTGGGAGGCATGGATCCGGGCCGTGGGGGAGTCTGTGGGCAAACGTGAGATGGGAGAGTGGTTGTCCGGGTCATCACGCCGGGCTGGAGCCTTCCCGGGGGTAGGCGGCTGGCGTTGGGACCCTCCTCCCTCGGGTCCCGGCCCGCCGGGCACTTACACTGCACGTCGAGCACGTACTGCGTCTGCTTGCTGTGGCCGGAGGGCAGCGCCTGGTTCTGCGCCTCGCAGATGACGATACCGCCGTCGTCCTTGCGGTCCACGCGAAACCGCACTGTGCTCGCCACGCTCCAGACCTTGCCATTTTCCTGGCCGCTGCTCACTCCTGCCACGCCCCGCCGGGATACTGTCAGGCTCCGCCCACCGAGGAGTGCCCACTCCCCCGCAGCCAATCCCAAAGCAAGCTATTTGCAAAGCCCCGCCCCTTGCCCTCCAAACCACGCCCCTCTCCGAACCCAGCCCACCACCGCACCTGCCTCTTCCCAAAGCCCCTCCCCCTCTCACTCCCACGCCCTCTCGTCTATCAATCCGTTCAATAGCTGCATTTGGAGCGGCTAGGGTCTGCCGGAACCTGTGCGCTCTTCTCCAAGCCCCGCCCACATACAAATCAGCCCCGCCCAAGCCCCGCCCCCGGAACACCACCTCCTCTCGGGCCCCGCCCCCTCCGGCACCTCCCCCATCCACCCCACCGCAACCTCAGTAGCACCTTTCAGCTCCTTGCGGTCCCGGTACCAGCGCAGGGTGGCAGCCGGGCGGGACCGCGGCACGAGGCAGCTGAGCTCCACCTCGCCGCCCTCCACCGCCTGCTCCCGGACCTCCACCACCGGATTCTCGGGGGCCACTGCCGCAGGGAGAAAGGGGGTAAGGGAGGTGTCAGGGGAGGCACCGAGATGCGCTCAAAGCCACCAGGCTGCGGGATCCCAGGGACCAAAGGGAACAAGGGTCCCAGGTGACAGGGTCAAGTAAGGGGTCAGAGGTCATGAAGACAGGCCATATTTACTGGGGCCAGATGTCCAGGAAGCTAAAAACTGCCAGGGTCAGGTCTCAGGATAAGGGATAAGCAGAGGAGAAAGGAGGAGGGGCTGGGTCCGAGGAGGGGGAGGTTGTTACCCAGTACAGTGAGCGTGGCAATCTGGTGGTGGGTATCCTCCGTGTAGAGCTGGCAGAAATAGCCCCCCTCGTCCTCCAGGCGGGCATCTGAGAGCCGGATCCGCACCCGGCGCGGGGAGAACTCCTCAAGCTGGAAACGCTCGTCCTTCAGGGCTAGAGAGAGTGAATCGGAAGGAGTGAACTTGGGGAATCCTGGCTTCAGGGGTCCCACCCTTCCTCCAGGAGCTTAGAGTCCAGTCCTCCGCCTTTTTTCTCCAGTCATATCTGTGTGTCTACGGCGCCCACCTAGTTACTCCCTTGGAGACTCATAATGAATCAGGCCCTCACGCCCACAGGACTAGGAGTCCAGGCCCCAAACGCTTCCTCCCTTGGACCCAGGAGTCCAGACCCCCAGCCCTTCCTCCCTCAGACCCAGGGGTCCCAGCTCCCAGCCCCTCCTCCCTCAGACCCAGGGGTCCAGACTCTCAGCTCCATCCTCTTTCAGGACACAGGAGTCATGCCCCAGCCCTCTCCTCCCTCAAGACTCAGAATCCGGATGCCAGTACTCACCTCGGGTGCCGTTGAAGAAGAGGGTCTGCCGGGCTGGGTTCTGAATGACAACTATGGACCCATCGTACTGGTGCAGACGGCAGGTTATCTCGGCCACCCCACCCTCGGCCACTGTCACATTCTCCGTTTGTACTTCCTGTCCTGCCCCTGCACCAGTAGACAGAAGAAGGAGACTCACTGAGGGCTGCAATTCAATCTTTTCTCTCTCCCTCTGTGCCTCTCCCACCCAAACCTCCCATCCCCCTCCTTCCCCTCTCATTCAGCTCATGATACCCAACAGTTCCTGCGGGCTGGAGCCTGGGAGACGAAGGGAACCTGTTCCCTGCTCCTGAGGAGCGGCAGTCAAGATCCAGCAGTGTGCGCTCTAATGCGGGCAGCACAGGGCACACTGGGAGCCCAGAGGAAAGGGAGACTAAGACTACCTAGGGAGATGGGTGATCAGAGAAGGTTCTGGAAGAAAGGTCCACTGGATCCAGATCTCAGAGTGAGCAGAAGTTCACCAGGTGTGGAAAACTGCTCTCTGTCTGCCAAGCCCCATCTTTCACACCTGGCACCTGTTGCAGCTTCTCTGCAGAGATCGCCACAGTAGCCTTCCCATCCCTGTCCATGCCCTTTGTAAGCTGACTTCCCTGCTCCTCCCATCAAGGAGGCACTCTGACCTGAGAATCTGGGCAGGCCTTGGGACTTCCTTTGGACCAACAGAATTTGATAGAAGTGATATTGTGAGTTCTGGAGCCCAGGCCTTAAGAAGCCTCGTGGCTCCTGCTGCCCTGAGACTGTCAGGTACAGATGTCAGGACTAGCTTCCTTGAGGATGAGAGACCACGGAGGGAAGCCCCGCCAACAGTCAGCCCCCACTGCCAACAGCCATGTGAGTGAGGCTGTCCTGGACCCTCCAGCCCCCACCGCCAGTCACATGGGTGAGGCCATCCTGGACCCTCCAGCCCCCGTTACACCACCAGGTAACTGCAGCCACTTGAGTGACCCCAGCTGAGACCAAGAGATCCAGTCCAAACTGCTGCCCCCAGAGCCACGAGCAAATGACTCGACTGTTGTTTGAAGCCACTATGTTTTGGAGGGTCTGTGACACCACTAAAGTTAACTGGTTCAACACATGAATAGATCCATTTCCTAGGTTCCCTTGTACTGCGGTGGGGCCACGTGACTGCTTTCTGCCCAAGGGGATGTAGGTGGAAGAGAGAAACACCTCTTCCAGCCTGGCTCATCTCACTCACAATCAAGCTGGCTGGAGAGAGAGGAATTTAAAGGGCCTAAAGGAGGACAGGACCACAAGCTGGAAGGAACCCGGGGCCTGCACAGGACTGTGACATGAGCAAGAAATAACAGTTTTTGGTTAAGCCATGGAGGTTTCAGCGCTGTTGTTAACAGCAGTTACCCTACCCTGATTAATCCATCAGAGGAACAAGATAGGGGATTACTGAGGGGGTGTTTCCAGCAGAGGGAACACAAAGCTCAGAGCTGAGACTGATTAGCATCAGCATCACCATCATCACTGTCGCAGGCATCTTCAAAATAACAATAACCACAGCAGCTACGGTTAATTAGACACTTGCTGTGCCAGGCTCTGTGCTAAGGGCATCACCTATATATTTTCCATTTAATCATCACCCTACTAGAATAAGGTAGCACTATTAACAATCCCCAGGTTTCTTCCAGTTCCCATTTTACAGATGAGAGAATCGGTCCAGAGAGAGGAAATGACTTGCCCAAGGTCACAGCCCGAGAGTGGCCAAGTCGGGCTCGGCACCGAGATCTCTCCGATTCCACGGCCTGCATCCACATCCACTCCTGGCTGTCTGGGGGAAAAGCATCCAGCCTTGGGGAGGGGGTGTGGGACGTGCTAGCGAAGGGCCTCAAGGTAAGTTTTCAGGGGCTGGGCGCCCCGAGATGAGTCAGATGAGGCCCCTGTCGTGGAAGGCCTTCAAGATTTATGGGGGAGGTAGGGGCCGGCTCCGTGGCTGAGTGGTTAAGTTCAAGCTCTCCACTGCACCGGCCCAGGGTTTGCATCCTGGGCGTGGACATGGCACCGCTCCTCAGGCCACATTGAGGCGGTGTCCCACATCCCACAACTAGGGGGACCTGCAACTAAGATATACAACTGTGTACAGGGGGGGTTTGGGGAGATAAAGCAGAAAAAAAAAAAAAAAAACAGATTGGCAAGAGATGTTAGTCCAGGGGCTGGCCCCGTGGCCGAGTGGTTAAGTTCGCGCGCTCCGCTGCAGGCGGCCCAGTGTTTCGTTGGTTCGAATCCTGGGTGCGGACATGGCACTGCTTGTCAGACCACGCTGAGGCAGCGTCCCACATGCCACAACTAGAAGAACCCACAACGAAGAATACACAACTATGTACCGGGGGGCTTTGGGGAGAAAAAGGAAAAAAATAAAATCTTTAAAAAAAAAAAAAAAAAAAAAAAAAAAAGAGATGTTAGTCCAGGTGCCAATCCTTAAAGAAAAAAGAATGGCAACAGTTGTTAGCCCAGGTGCCAATCCTTAAAAAAAAAAAAAAGATTTATGGGGAGGTAGACATAAACACTGTAATATCCCATCAAAGGCGTTATGTTTCCTGTAAGAGGGATAGGTGACCTGATTTGGGGGCTGAAGAGTGGAAAAGATTAATTCTGGGGGATGGAGGCAGACAGCTATCTTCCTACCCTGCATCCATTCTTCCCTTTCTCCTTAGTAAAAGAACCCTGATTGTATGTTGTGGTTTCCCCGTGTCCCGCATAAAGAGATATTTCCCAGATTTCCTTGCAGCTAAGTGAGGCCATGTAATAAAGTTTTGTCCAATTGGATATAAGAAAAAGTGTCATGTGGTAATTTCGGGAGGACTTCCTAAAGAAAGAGGACAAGTCTTTTTTTCCCACCAGGTCACCTTTATGCTGCCTGGAACTCGGATGTGATGCCTGGAGTTCTTGCAGCCATATTGGACCATGAGGACAGTGGCAGTAGGGATGGTGGAACAAAGAGCTGGAAGGTGCCTGAGTCTCTGGTGATGATGTAGAGCTCCCATAAAAACCCTGGATGCCTACTTCTGGACTTCTTTTATGTTTGAATATAGTGCTTTGTGTATTTAAGTCACTATTCAGGGGTTATCTAGCACCTCTCGGAATATCAAGCTTAAAATGTCCAATCCTTGCCCCAAATATTTTCCTCCCTATGTTTTCTCAATCTCAGTAAATCTCACAACCATCCACCTAGTTGCTCAGGCCAAAAACCTAGAAATGATCCAAGTTCTCACCCTTTCCTTCCCCTCTAACATCCATTCCATCAATAAGATGTATCCATTCTACCTCCAAAACAGATCCCAAATCTCATCACCTTTGTGCACCTCTTCTACCATCACCCTAGTCCAACGACACCATCTCTGCCTGGACCTTCAAGAACTGCTCAAGGGTCTCCCTGCTTCTGTGCTTGCCTCCCCTGGGCCATTCTCCACACAGCAGCCAGACGGAGTTTTCAAAAAGGTAAATCAGCTCAAGTTACCTCTCTGCTTAAAACCCTCCAAAGGCTGCCTGATACACTGAGAACAAAATCTAGACTCCTAGTCAAGGCGCTATGTGGCCGGGCCCCTCTCTGAGCACGGTTCCAACTGCTACTCAGTTCACTCCAGGCTCAGGGCCTTGATGTCCCTCAGCCGTACTGTGCTTGATCCCACCTCAGGGCCTTTGCACTTGCTCTTCCCTCTGCTTGGAACATTCTTCCCCCTCAATCATCTCTGGGCTGCCTTCTGTTCTCATTCAGGTCTCTACTCATATCAACACATCCTCAGACTTTCTCTCGCTCCTCGTCCCTTCACCTTCAGACTTTCTATGTCATCACCGTTGTTTTATTTCCTCTGTGGAAACTTCTCTGACATTATTTTATTAATTTGCTTCCTTGTTTATTGTCTGTTTGCCCCCATCCCTAGTATATACACCCCGTGAAGATGAGGATGTAAGCCATTGGGTTTCCTGCCGCACCCTGAGTGCCTAGAAGTGTGTCCGGCACTTGACAAATGTCTGGGGAGACTGATGAATGAACTGTGTGTGTCAGGCAGGATTTCGTTACAGCCTCACAACGACTTTGTGACATCATTATTCTCATCTTAAACATCTGGGTTGATCCCAGCTGGACCACTTGCCTGCTGTGTGACCTTGGGCAAGTGGCTTAACCTTTCTGAACCTCAGATGCCCCGTCTGTAAAATGAGGATGCCAGTGCCTGCCTCATGGGGATCAGCCCAGTGCCAGAAGCTCAGGGAGCCCTCTCTGCAGAGCTTCTGTCATTTCAACATCAGGAAACATGCCCATGCACATGGAAACTGGCCTACCTGCACATCTGGCGCTTTTAAAAAACATCTTGAAGCTTATCCATGGATCCTGGACCTCAGGGCTAGCCCAATGCTAGCCCCCCATTTTACAGATGTGGAGAATGAGGCTCAGGAGTCCCAGGCAAGTCAGTGGCAGAAACTCAACATCTCCTGGGAGCCATCAGGACCTCTGGATCTGCTCCCCCACATTTATCCCCTGCTCTCTGCTTGAGGGTGCACGTGGGGTGAGGGTGGGGGGGCTTTTGTCTTATTCCCTCCCCCTCCTGAGGAGTCAGTAACCAACAGTGTGTGTGCCTTGAATATTAATGTCTCAGGAGCTTTTGTTTCGGGGTTGGGGGGTGGTGAGGCGGGACTTCCTGGTCAGAGAGGGGCTGAGCTTTGGGACTGGGGCACTGGCCCTTTAAACTGTGTTGACAGCCTGGAGTCGTCATGGGGATGGTGCCTGGAAAAAGGGACTGGGGAGGGTTTGGGAAGGAGCTGCTGAGCAGGTGATGTGTAGAGACCCAGAATCCAGTACTCTCCTCCCTCAGACCCAGGAATCCGGCCCCCAACTGCCTCCTCTCCCCTGGGAGTCCAGGCTCCTAGCTGGCGCCCTCCTTCCCCAGGACCCAGGAGGCTGGGTTCTCAGCATCCTCCTCCCTCAGACCCCAAAGTCCCGAGCCCCCAGCCTTCTCCCGCCTCAAACTCAGGAGTCTGGGCCTCCAGCCCCCTCCTCCTTCAGGACCCAGGAGCCAGGGGCCCAGAGTACACAGCTGCTGGATGTTTCCACGGAGACTAAGGGGGGTGGGGGAGCACTTCCTGGGTCCTGAGTCAGCGAATACCCAAGGGAGTCTCAAGGTCACGGTTCCGGGAAGGTCACAGCCGCCCCATTTGCATCCACTCCCCAGGGGGCTTGTGGCATCATGCCTCCTTCCCCACTTCCTCCCCTAAGGACGTGGTACATCCCTGCGCCCTGATCAAACCCCCCCTCTGCCCCCCATCAATGGCGGAGTCCGAACATCCTCGCACAAAGCATCAATTCTTCCCCAGCTCAGCCTTGTGAAGGAGCCTGTATTCGCAGGACCTAGGCGTCAGGGTCCCAGCCCCTCCTCCCTCGGAAACCTGGAGTGGGACCCCAGCCCCTTCCTCTCTCAAGACTCAGAAGCCTGTACCCCCAACCCTCCCTCCCTCAAGATCTAGGAGTACAGATCCCAAGCTAGCTTCTCCCTCAGGATCCAGGAGTCTAGGACCCCAGCCCCCTGCTCCCTCTGACACACGTCCAGGACCCCTAGTACTCTCCTATCTCAGATTCAGGAGTCTAGGACCCCAGCCCCTCCTCCTTCAGACCCAGGAGTGCAGGTCCCCAGCCCCTCCTCCCTCAGACACAGGGGTCAGTGTAGGCCCCCAGCCCCTCCTCCCTCACACCCAGGAGTCCAGGCCCCCAGCCCCTCCTCCCTCACACCCAGGAGTCCAGGCCCCCAGCCCCTCCTCCCTCACACCCAGGAGTCCAGGCCCCCAGCCCCTCCTCCCTCACACCCAGGAGTCCAGGCCCCCAGCCCCTCCTCCCTCACACCCAGGAGTCCAGGCCCCCAGCCCCTCCTCCCTCACACCCAGGAGTCCAGGCCCCCAGCCCCTCCTCCCTCAGACCCAGGAGTCCAGGCCCCCAGCCCCTCCTCCCTCGGACCCAGGAGTCCAGGCCCCCAGCCCCTCCTCCCTCACACCCAGGAGTCCAGGCCCCCAGCCCCTCCTCCCTCACACCCAGGAGTCCAGGCCCCCAGCCCCTCCTCCCTCAGACCCAGGTGTCCAGGCCCCCAGCCCCTCCTCCCTCACACCCAGGAGTCCAGGTCCTTGGCCCTCTTCTCTCCTGCAAACTTTTGACTCCAGGTCCACACTCCTCAACCCCCAGAACCACAGTCCTGCCCTCCCCCAGCCCTCTGTCCCCCTCTCTCTGGGGACCCAAGCATCAGGTGGGGGCGTAGGGGTGAGTCAGCAGCCTCACACACAAAGTCCCCGCTGTGGCCCCCGCGTTCCTGGGATATTCGGAACTCCCTGGATTCTGGGCCTCAGGCCCAGCCAGGGGGTGGGGGAGTCCTCAGAAGGTTCCCCCTGGGTGTGGGGTCAGGGAAGGAATTCCTGCTCCGGGAAGGGTACGGGCCTGCACTGAGTGCACGCTGTCCTACCCTCCACCCTCAGGGCCCTGTTCACCCGGTCCCAGAGGAGCCCAGGCTCTGCCACTGTCCCCTTGCCCCAGTGGGTGCCCGTGGAGGAGCCTTGCAACCTGGTTCCCGAGGACCTACGGATCTGGCGTCTGCACAGGCAGGAACCAGTGGGTGCTTGGGTCCTGGTGCCACAGGCCATTGGGCGCTGGTGAGTCTGACTGTCTCCAAGCACCCCCAACCCCACCCAGAGAGAGAAAGCTGCCTTTGTGTTCCCCAAGACGGGGACAGGCCAGGCTCGCACGACATTAACCCACCCCAGGCCCCAGCCCTGCTGCGTCTAAGGTCTTGGAATCCATGGCGGAACCTGACCTCCGCTCTGGGGACTCAAGCCCCCGGCTCCTGGGTGGGTGGGGGTCAGTGAGAGAAACCTCCTAAGACCTGTACCCTGGGGTGACTCACACTGCGGGGGAAGGTCCCCTATTCTCAGAGTAGCCGGGCAGAACTTCAGCAGGAGAAAGTGAGTCACTTGGGAGGGAAACATTATTCGGGATCCACACCTCCCCCTCCGCCAGGCCCCCCAACTCTTAACAGCCTCTCTCTCTTTTCTTCGGATCTGGATATCTGTTTCCTCGGCTCCTTTCTGTTCCATCCAATTCCTGGCCTGCGGGTCTTGGTTTCTGCCTGTGTGCGTCTCTGGGCAGGCAACCCATCTCTCTCTCTTTCTCACTCCCTCTCGCCTGCCCATCCTGGACCCTTCTTTCTTTCTTTTCATAAACCTCCTCATCTTCTTCTGGTATTCTTGGCAGATGAGTGAGCCAGGAAAGAGAGAACACGTTTTTGAAAGGGCACAAAGGGACCCCATCGTCCATCCCCACTCCTGCTGGCTGGGCCAGGTGAGAGAGGATGGGGGTGACTAAGAGGGAAAGGTGGGGACCATGGAGACCCCTAAAATCTGGTGGCCAAGGCCATTCGGAAATGTCCAAAGAAGAGGAAAGTAGGCAGGGCCCTCTGAGGCCATGTACTCCGGCTTCCTACCCCATGCCTTAGAGAAGGAGAAAGCAAGGCACAGAGAGGGATAGTGGCTGACAGAAAATTACACCGGAGAGGCCTGGTCCCTCGTTCCCAGTGCAGAGTGCTTCCCATGACACCTAGCTCTCTCCCAACTTATAAAGCCCCACGCCATTTAATTCCAGGGAAGTTTACAGAAGGGATTAGGGTACCAGGAAGCAGTGACTTTAAAACCAAACAAGCGACACGCCTGCCGAGCTACCTCCCAGAAAGGATGGAGAAAAGATTCTTGAACTGGGCAGGTGGCCGTCTTAGACTATATTCTGATTCTGAGACTCCAAAGTCCTACAAATCTACGCTGTCAAGATTCTAGATGTCAGAGGTGTCAAGATTCAGGATCTCCAGGAGGTCAAGGTTTCAGAATTTTAAAGATGTCAAGAGGCTAGAAGGCTAACGCCATCGAGGTTCTAGAATTTTAAAGGGGTCAAGAGTCTAAAGACTTTGGGATTCTAGAATCTGAAAGATGTCAACATTCTAAAATACCCTCAGGCTCTTTATTTACTGAATTCCCTGGTTCTAGGGTTCCATGAGCCTGGTTTTTAGGGCCTAAAAAATAAAGAAGGAAAAATAAAATTGAATGGAAATGTGGCTAAAGTTCTAAAGTGCTCATCTGGGAAATTGTGCCACGTCTGCCGCAAAGAAAAGAAGTCATGATGAAAGTTCTGAGGCGATGGCAGAAGACGATAGAAGAGAGCAAGGTGGAGGGTGGGGGGTCAGCTTTGCCCCTCGCCTTGTCCCAAGGAGACAGGGGCTCTGCCTCCAGCCGTGGGGTGGGGAAGGTGTGACTGCACCCCACTTGCCAGAAAGCCCTTCAGAGTTCCCAGCTGGAGTTCTTTTTCTTTCAGGTCACTGAGTTCAACATCCTCATCTACAGAAAGGGAAACAGAAGCCCAGGGAGAGGGTGCTTGCCATTGGCTGCTGTGGTAAACGGCAAGAGCCAGGATTTAAAGCCGGGCAGGCCCCCAGCCCGGTGCCATCTGGTTACACGGCTCCCCCAAATCTACAGAATGCCCGGCCCTCCCACTTCTGCCCAGCCACCTCCCAATCATCCGTTTCTCCCAAGAGTGGCTTTCCCCACCAGGGACGGGGTGACCTGGGGCAGGTTTCAGGCACACACAGTGTGAGAGTGTGTGTGTGTGGCTGACATTTCCTGACCTTGTCCCCAGTCTCAGGGTCACCCTATCTTGGAGGTCTCCAGCTTTTTGCAGTGTGGGAGCAGCGTGTGTGGACGGCTCCCTGGCTGTTCTGGAGGGGGCTTCCGTGTCAGTCATGGCCTGGGCGTGGGAATGGGTGAGGAGGGGCTGCACTGGGCAGGCATTTGCTGAATCCACGTGTGTGCCCACACGCTGAGGTTCCGCACACACTTCCCCGCACACATACACCAATCCATTTCCCTCCAGGGCCCTTTAGGATGCCCTGCCTGACTCGATTCCTCGCCAGGGGCGCAGAGGGATAGAGAGATGGAAGAAGGAAGGATGGGGATGGGGGATCCCGGGATGGAGGCGGTAAGGGTAAGGGGGGGCAGACAGACAGGGGACAGGGAGACAGTGGGACGGGGGGCGGGGGATGAGGGAGACAGGTGACAGAGGGGGCTAGAGAAACAGGCGTGACAGAAAGACAGGGGACAGAGAGACAAGGGGATGAGACAGATGGGGAACAGAGAAGCAAGGGTGACAGCGAGACAGAGGGGGAACCGGGGCAGAGAGGGAGGGCGCAATATAGAGGGACAGAGAAGGGGGAACAGAGAGGACGATGGAGGGACAGAGTGACCCAGTAAAAAGGGACAGAGGCCAAGGGACAGAGGTGGGGGACAAAGACAGGATAGAGAGGTGGGGGACAGGGAGGCAAGGAGAAAGGGGGACAGACAGAGGGAGGGACAGGACTTCGAGACTGAGGGACAGAGGACAAGGGTAGGGGGACAAGGAGAGACACTGAGGGACTCAGAGGCAGGCGGACAGAGGGACGCAGAGAGCGGACAGAAGGACAGCAGGACCGGCCTGGAGAAGGCGGGCTCGGGAGGGGGGTGGTCTCCGGCCCTTTGTCCCCGCCGGGATCCGGCCTGCGCGGGGTGGGGGGGCTGCGGCACGGCGGCCGGGGCCCGCGCCCCCTCCCCCTCGCGGCTCCCGGCGCCGGCCCGCGCTGCGCTTTGTCCCGGGGAGGGGGCCCGGCCCGGCCCCGCGCGCATTGTTCGGCCTCTGCGGCCCCGCGGCGGCCGGGCTGTCACCGCGGCGCGCCCCCCGCCCCGGCCCGGCCGGCCGGCCCCGGCCCCCGACCCTACCTGGCCCCGCCGCGGCCGCCCACAGCAGCAGCAGCGGCCACTGGAAGCGCCGGGCCCGGCCCATGGTGCCGCCGCCGCCGCCGCCGCCGCCG